ATATAATCAAACTTAATTTTTATAAAAACCCAATTCGAATTTTCAAACTAAATTTAAAAATATACCATTTCGAATTTTCAAATTTAATTTTAAAAAAACCTATTTCGAATTTTCAAATTTAATTTACAAAAAACCCATTTCGAATTTTTTTTAAAAAATCATTTTCGATTTTTTTTTTTTACAAAAAAATTAAATAAAAAACAACAACAAAATCAAAAAAGAAAAAAAAATTAATTATTAAAGGTGGCGTCTGCCAGGGCTGCCACAGCCACTGGACTGGCGCCTGGCAGGGCCGCCTCACCCAGTGGAGTGGCGTCTGCCCAGGACGCCAGTCTAGTGGTCTGGGCGTCTGGGCTGGACGCCATTCTGGTGGTTCTGGCGTCCGGCTTGGACGTCCAGGCTACGGTTTGGGCGTCCACCCTAGGCGCCGGAGCCACTCCGACGGTAAACCGTGAATTTTAACGGTGACTTACCTCGTTTTCCGTCGACGACGACGTACCTCCGGCGTCCCCCGCATCTCCGGCCTGTCATCCGGTCTCCCCCGGCGAGCCAGTACGGCTCCACATTTTTTACACCGAGATTATTTCAATTTTAGAAAAAGGGCATAATGGTCAAATCATATCATATTTGTGGGCTTTATATGGTAAATTGCGGGCGATGTTTAGCGTTTCACAAAAATTAACCCTGCTTGCAAGCAGGGTGCTTAAAAAAAATATATCAATCTTAAAATGACACATGAAAGCTTATTATTATTTTATTTTTAATATTGATTATGCAAGTTAGATGGTGGTATTGTATTTAGAGTTATCAAAAGTTGACCTAACCCAAAAAATTTACCCGAACCCGATTATTAACCGACCTTTTTGAACCCGGAAAAATGGTAACCCGAACCCGATATGACCCGACCTAAAACTAACCCTAGATCCGAGTTAACCAGAGTATTTGAGACCCGAACCCAAACATGAACCGACCTGAATATAACCCGTAAAATATTGTCCTGAATCGAGATTGACCCAAACCTATTTTAATCCGTCAAAACCCGAATTTAACCCGACCTGTTACTAACCTGACCTATCAATTAACCGACCCGAATTCAACCTGACCTGTTACAAACCCGACCCGAAATTCAACCCGATCTGCTACTAACCCGACCCGAAATTAACACGACTTGTTATTGACCCAACCCAAATTCAACCCGAATTGTTCCTGACCCATTTCGAACTCAACCTAACCTATTATTGACCTGACCCGATTTCAAATCACCTAAATTCAATTTAGACCACCTTATTAATATATAGTTATATAGTTACATATTTCTTTCTAAATTATTTCTACTAAGAATATGATGTTCATCGCGCAAATCATATTATATCACTAATAAATAAGCCGATCTTGCAGCCAAGCCATGATACATCGACACTTAACATTCCAACTTTTTGCCAAGTGTCGCGCCACGTAGGCGACAAATAGGTATTATTGTGATATATATGAGGCTAAGTAAGCGATATTTGGATAGATTTTTTAAGAAAAAAATGTTGTATACAGCTTTATTATCACTATATTTTTAATATTTCATATATACAAAATTAATCATAACTTTTAATAAATATCCTATAACTCGATTTTATTTCAATCATAAAATTCGTTTCAAAATTTTCTTTAAAATAAGATCCATTTACAATATATTTAATTTAGTTACAAAAATTATAGAGAATCGGTAAAAATAAGTTTTAATTAGTAAAAATAATTTTGTTTTGGTAAAAATAATTTCAATTCAGTAAAAATAATTTAAGTTCATAAAAATAATTTCAAATCAATAATAACATAGATATCTGTTTACAAACAAAACTACAAAAAGTACATTATTCTATAAATAAGCGATAGAATATCATATGTCTAAATATCTTGCATTATCAAAAAGGATTACATGACCACATTTCAAGCCAAGAAGTCTATCCTAAAATTTTATCAACAATATACTACGTATAAAGCTAAACTTTTAGCTAGATCACGAGACATTGACACTTGGCATTTTAACTTTTCACCAAGTGTTGCGCCACATAGGAGACATATAAGGATAATTATTTTGACATGTATAATTTATTTGGATAGATTTTTAATAAAAAAATGTTGGATAGATTTTATAGGATAAAAAATTAAAGTTAGTTAAGAGTTTTATTTTCAATCAAATTTGGATAGAATTTTAGGATAAAATTATTGGTTTAGAGTTTTATTTTCGATAAAATACCAATATTTCATATGTACAAAATAAATTATAATTTTATTCAAAGAAAACTAGATTATAACTCTAACAAATTATCTTATAAATTTATTTTTATATATCATAATATTTGTGTTAAAGAGTACTTCAAAATAAATATATTTATGTTATATTTTATTAATAGACATAAAATATAATTTATTCATTTTTTAAAATATAAAGTTGTACAATTAATCAAATCACGCAATATAACAAAATTTAAGCGGTATGATTAGCTAGGACACGAGATATGACATTCCAACTTTTCCTAAGTATCGTGCCACGTAGGTAACAACTAACCATTAGATTGGCACGTATAATTTATTTTTATAGATAAAAATTTTATATTAATGATATGTTTTAAAATTCACAAATTCTTATTTGTGGCTAGACACACCGTGTGGCTAGCCATAATAAAATAAGGGTTACTCAGTCAGTGTTTTAGGGATTACTCAGTCAATGTTACATGGGTTAATCGGTCAGTGTTATAGGGGTTACTTTGTTCTTTTACAACCGGTCACACCGTGTGGCCAGCCACATACAAGACTGACTGTTTAAAATTTAGCATATAGATAAAATAAATAAATAAATAAAATAAAAATTAAAAAAAAATTATCTTAACATTTATTAAACAACTTAGGCATTGCACGGGGCACAAAACTAATAACTAATATATAAAGCTAACTTTTAGCCAGTTCACGAGACAGCGACACTTAGCGTTTCAACTTTTCGCCAAGTGTTGCGCCACATAAGCAACAATTAAATATTCATATGACATGTAAGATTTATTTGGATATATTTTTTATGAATAAACAAGTTGTATTTTTTAATTAGGATAGAAACTTGGATAGATTTTGTGGGATAAAAAAGTTAGTTTAGAGTTTAATTTTCAATAAAATTTGGATAGATTTATATAGGATGAAATTTTTGGTTTAGAGTTTTATTTCCAATGAAACACCAATATTTCACAGGTAAAAAAAATGATAAGTTTAGCCAGACCACGAGACAGCGACACTTGACGTTTCAACTTTTTACCAAACGTCGCACCATATAGACAACAATTAAATAATTTATCATATAAATTTATTTTTATATCATTTTTATTTTTGGAGCAAAAAAATGTGCTATATTCATTTATAATATATTCTAATCGATTGAAATAAAATACTTCACAATCTAATAAGACTTTATTACTATATGTAGACTTGACAATTGGGTCGAGTCACTTTAGGTCACGGGTCAAAAAATGTTCAACGCTAGCCTAAAGTTTTGGGTTTGGGTCAACCCAACGGGCTTAGAACAATTTTTTTTGTTTAATTTTTTTTGGCTAATTTTTAGAAATTTCTAATATTTTAAGTTTACTTTGCTATTTTTTTTTTTTTTTATATTTCTAAATCGAACATTTTCACCAATATTATTATTAGTCATTACATGCCTAATGCATAATTTAAATCGTCACAAAAATCACATTAATTCCTAACTAATTTTTTATTAATGATATATTTTAAAACTTGGTACGTACATAGATAAAAAGTTTATCTTAAAATTCAACAAACAACTCGGGCATCGCACGGGGCACCAAACTAGTAAGAATATAAGATTATATTATATGAAATTAATGAACTTATTATATATATCTTATCTAAACTTATTTGAACTTATTAACTCGAATTCAAACTAATCTGGAATTGTTTCCTAAAATGAGTGGAACCAGTGAAAAATAGATCAGAATAGGGTCAGAACTTATCTTCCAAAAATATTATCTAAACCTATCTTACCGGAATTAATATGAACTTATTATATCTTAATATCTTATCTTAAATTTATATGAGCTCATTACTTCGAATTTGAACTTATATGAAATTATTTATCCTAAAATAAGTGAAAAAATGTAGTTTAAACTTATTAGCTCGAATATGAACTTATCTGAAATTATTTCTCTTACAATAAATGAAGAAATTGATAATGATTAAACGTGAACGTCAATACATGAATTGTTAACAAATCGACCCAAAAAATGTACCCGAACCCGATATGAATCGACCTGAAATCAACCTGAGACCCAGATTAACCCAGTAATTGAGATCTGAACCTGGACCCGACTTGGAAATGACCCGACTTAATTATCACCCGCAAATTATTGACTTGAACCGAACCCGACTCGAACCCGAAAATGACTCGACTTGGAAATGTCCCGTCCTGATTATAACCCGCAAATTATTGACTTGAACCGAACCCGACTCGAATCCGAGAATGACCCTAGCTCGTTTTAACCCGTTAAAACCCGAATTAAACTCAACATATTATTCACCCGACCCAAATATAACCGACATGTTATTGACCTGACCTAAACCCGACCAAAACCCGACAAGATGATGACCCGACGTGACCCGACTCAAACATGACCTAACCCAACCCCCACCCACCTAGATTACGACATTAACCCGAACTGACCCGACTTGAGTTGACCTAACCCACACTAACCAAACCCAAACCCGACTCGTTTACCCGAATTGACAACTCTAATTGTAGTTAACTGATGGGGCAACTTGTAGCATGAAATTGATGTTGCTTGAAAAAGTGATGTGGCATGGCCAGCTACAATATTTTGTAGCCCGCCATTAGAGTTGCTCTAACGCTTTTGAATAATAATAATAAAAAAATAAAAAAAATAAAAAAATAAAAAAATAAAAAAATAAAAAGTGGTATTTGATAATATTGAAAAAAAATGGTGGTTATTTCTAAATATGATGTATTAAGGGGTGGTTATATACAAAATTTACTTTCTTTTTTTATGCATATAGAAATTTTTTTTTAATTTTTTTTTTAAGGAATGGAAAAAATATATTACAACTTTATATGTATAAGCATTTCAATATAATAAAATCACAACAGAAAATAGTTAGTCATTGATATTTTATGATTTAAAATATTAGATATTATAATAATTGGTCGATTAGTTATTTCAAAACATTTACATCAGAGAGGTTCTGTCAATTCTTATGCAGACAAAAACACACAAAAGAGAATTGAGGAAGAACCATAGATACAAAATTCAGCTCTTGGACACGATTTTCCCGCCAAAATTGTTAACTGCTAAATTATACAGTACCAAAAGAGAATATTTAGAGATACAACCACAAGAACTAATCATTTCCGAAAGTGAATATTCACAACGGAAGACTGTGAGAACATAGTTTGTTGAACGGAAATGACAAGAGGTAGAATAGGATGGAACAAGAACGAGGATATCTTCTTTGCCCGAGCATCTGAATTCCCAGCTTCAGGGCCTATGATACAAGTAAGCATTGTTTGTTAATTACTAAATTTCATACTAAATCAAAATGATGACGAGTATAGCGGTCCATTACGGACACCAAAATTTAAGGACGGATGTTTGATTATCCAATAATCACACAGGACACATACCTGGTTTAATCTTGAACTTTGGAATTTTGGGTTGCCTCCTTGAGATAAATTTAATGGGATGGTCTGTAGATTGTCTATGCCGATCAGTAGCCGAAATCAGCTGTATTAGTGACATTTAATTAGAAAAGGTAAGAAATAATCAGCTGTATTAGTGACATAATTAGAAAAGGTAAGAAACAAGGTTGTACCACCAATCACGTGAAAAACTAATACGTAGTATGATGAAACACTGAAACTGAAAATTTGTTCCAATACTTAAAAGTGTGTTAGCAAAGGCATAAAAGCCAAATCTAGCACACTCCATCCAAATAATTAGATCATTTAAACAATCAAACTAGTTCTAAAATATGACAAAACCGAGAGAAAATTTAACCACGCATATTAAAGTTTTACTACTCAATGTATAAAAAGCTCAAGGCACGTTGAAGCAAGAGGGGTTTTGCTGCGCCTAGGTGTGCCTAGGCGTGCCAAGTGAGGCACACTATATGAACAGTTCTTCGGGTGGGCACACCTCATGCGCCTAACCAAAAACGCCTCGCCCAGACCAAATTAAGTGCTTACCCCCTATCGCCTTGCACCTTTTCAAACAGTGTTCCTACTTCAAAGCTATCTATAAAATGACAATATTTTTCATTGCAATAACAGATCTTGTAGCAGAGGTTAGCTATCGAATGAAACTGGCATGAAGCATATATAAATCATGCACTTGGACATTCAGAACTGACCATCAACAATGTCGTGATAGACAGGAACCAGACAAATGAGGATTATCGTACTACTTCTCTAGCATGTTTTATTTAGTTCTTGGTCAACCCTCTACATATCTGATGTTGGTTCAATAGTAATGCTTCTTATGGTTATTTTGGACATTTTAGTTATAGAAAATGGGTGGAAGAAACACTTTTCTCTTTTCAGAATTCAAATAGAATAAATAAGACCAAGGTAATCACTGTAATCCCTCCCTTCGTTGTAATACTTGTATATAATCCTTTATCTTACTAGAGAAGGTACCCTTGCAATGAACATAGAATTAATTAGGTTCGAAAGTTCCAAAAGGTATTTTGATTGATGGAAAGGTCGGAGACATTTCATTTGGTTCAACATTTTGCATTAATCATGCACCAGGTGTCTTGTTTTAATACATAGTTTTTTTTAAACTAATTTTCAGCTTTAAAGTAAACAATCAGAAGAGTTAAACCCAAATTGTTTCCTCAGCATGGCACATGCATCAACAAACTTCTTTAGGACAATGATTGCATGCATGATCTTATGTTATACATCTTAATATTTCATACAGCAAGTTTCTGATAAAATTTGTTATGGTTGAAGCAAGTTTCAATAATCTATTAGTTAAAGTAGATTTTGACAACAATAATAGGCAGTAAGCCACAGCAAGCAACTCCAGGCAAGGTCAAATCCTGCTTTAACAGCTAATACGATCAGACTTGTTAGGCAAAGGATAAGAGACAAACCTTCTCATCAAACCGAAAGAGCGACTGATCAAAATAGGGTGATGGACTCTGTGACTGACAAGTGAAAGGTAAAGATCCCAATGTTTTCTTCACAAACTGCAATTACTGGCCATATGTTAAAAAGAACGCTAACTTTTCTAAGCATTTGTAAAGTCATAACTACAACAGCCAAAAAAAACCAGAAAATGGCAAAGATTAAAAAAAAAAAAACAACTTGCCTGTGAAAAGCTGCCAGACTTATTTTTCAAGCAAATCAATTGTTCAAAGGCGTGGAGGTTATTTGAATGAGATGAGATAAATTTCATATGCAATGAATTGTTTGGAGATGTATGGAAATGGTCAGCAAACTTCTCGAGCAAAAAATAAAGCTCATCTGCTGAATTCTGAATCATGGGGACAAGTGATAAGCAAATTACAATCACGTCAAAAGTAAGTAATTTTCTGTGTAACAATCATAGTGGGGAAAACTGTTGAGCTTACATAAATGTAATTTCAGCAAAGACAGACCTGGTAAAATGCTACAAATTCCGCAGCCTCCATGCTATATATAGCGAAGAAGGCTGGATGGTGGTCAGCATTTCGGGAGACCTGTAATTATATTTCAATCAGCAACTCATGTCCTATCAAAATCTTTCTTAGGCGAAGGCAGATGGATGTTTCTCGAGATTACAGAAATCCCCTTTCTGCATATCATATCAATCCTCACACACACACACAGAAAAGGAAAAACACCAGGTCCATATTACAGTATAGGCACATACAGGTTTGCCTGTAAGGAAAAAATAAGGGGGGTGGGGGGGGGGGGGGGTGGGAGAGATCGCCTTACCCCTCCATCGACACTACCAAATTTGATCAACAAGTGATGTCTGTCCAAGAATTGAACCTAGACAACAAAAGAGTTTGCATTTAGATTTTAAATTTTTGCGAGGATAACTAAAGAATACATTGAGAATTCTCTAACAAATCAATTTACCTTCCACATTATCAAGTCAACGTAAACTTGGAAATATAAATAGAATTTCTTTTTCAACCGTTGGACCCGCTGAATACAATACGACAAGAGGAATAAACAAGCTGCTTTCTAAGAAGAGATGAAATGCAAACAGATAATATGAAAATAAAATAGAATAAAGAATAAATACTGAATTAACAATGCATATACTATATCACATTGATAGAATATTATAATCCATCCATGATTTAATAGCTGCATCAATTAATATTTTTAAAACATCATTGATGAGAAATTTAAACAGGTAAAATGACTCACATTTGCTTCATCTGCTTCTTCATTCCATATCCCTCTAAATATGAATGAAAGTAACCGCTGTTTGATTCCACTTAGCATAGAATGCTCACTGCTGGGAACACCTTCATTGTTGTTCACAAGAGCTTGTCTCTGGTTATTATTGTCGTTTATTGTTCCATACTGTAGAAAGCAACTCTTGGAAGTTAGATAATAACTCTCAACTGCACAGAAGCATCAATCTCTGAGATTGCTAATGAAATGCATTATTAAGAAGATGCAAGAGAGTAAGAGATAGAAATAGAAGTAAAAAGCTTGACAAAACCTAGGTCAAGAGTGCTGCATCTCAGCAAACCCTTATTTCTTCTTGATCATCAGATCTCTGAAAACCATACATCCAAATTTCAAGGTCTTCAAAGTTTAATCAGGTTTTACTCGATAGCTCTACATACGTTGCTTCATTATACAAAACCTCAAGACAAGAGTAATCAAAGATATAACGTTATGTGATCCTGCCCCCTTATTTAGCTATTTGTTTACTAGTTTCAGAAAAGCGATAATCTCCAAGCTCCAATGAGAAAAGAAAAAATCCCAGAAGTATATCAAGTTGGCTAAAAGATCTCTCAAAAAGTATGCCCTACATCTATGAGAAGAAGACATGTATAATTCAATCTTTTTATTTGTCCCATACTCTGTTATGGGTCTTGGCCTATTTCCTCAATTTAGCTTAAGTTTGCGAGATGTTAAGATTTAAGAGTCTGTTTGTTACAACTTATTTTATCGTATTTATCTTATTTCAAACAAGATAAGTTCGGAAAATATAAGTTAGGAAATATAAATTTTGAGATAGCAGAGATTTTCAGACAAAAGCCTGCACCTCAATCTATTCCTTTTGTAGGGTTTAAATGAGAATATTTTGGTAATTTCCATATTAATGAATGTGGGCCCACAAGGAGTCCAAACATTAGCCCCACGACAAATTCGTGAAGCGCGCTCCGCAGTTCGGGAGTTTGTCGGAAAAATATCGATTGAATGAAATCAACCGTCTTGGAAATATGAAGTTTGCACAAGTCGCGTCAATAAAACACTTTTTATTTTTTACTATACTTTTTTTTTTATTACTGTTAGTCGTCGAGCACACAGAGGTGCAGTCGAAACCTTGTGCTAGGGCGACCTGGGCGATGCTGCTGCTTAGCGATGATGTGATGTGATTGCCTGGGCGATGTTGTGTTGCATGCTGCTGGGCGATGATGTGCTGCGTGCTGGCGGTGATATGCTATGCACCAGCGCGTACCAGCTCCTCGGCCTGGGCGATGACTTACTATGCACTGCATCCCCTTGGTCTCTTGGCGATGACTTGCTATGCCATTGCAACCCCTTGGCCTCATGGGCGATGACTTACCCCTCGGCCAATGGCTTCAAACCTTTTTGATCGCGTTTATGACTTGGAAACAGAGGTATTTTTGGCACTCATGTGTCTTGTGAGCGATGAAGTGTCATAAACACTTTCCTTTACTATCAACAATGCTTAAAAATGACCCCACTTCGTCTTTAGTTGGAAGCAATCTCGCCCGTTGCTTTGTAATTCTGACAAAAACTTCGGGAGGTCATAACTTGGCCCTCGGGTGTCCGAATTGAGCAATTTTTTTTTTCAACTTGTGTATTTTTTCGAGCTCTACACGGTAAAAAATATCCACAGGGAATTAGGCCAACGAAAATGCGAAAAAAGGCCTCTAGCATGGTGAAAATGCCATTTTTCTAATTACGATCTTACTTTAAGACATGGAATTGGAGGGTGATGTGCACGGGTGGCCCCTTAACGAGCCCCTAGGATGGGCGATGATATGATTGGCACCCTTTGGGGTTAAGAGCCCCTTGGATGGACGATGATATGTATGATGCCTCTTAGGGATAAAAATCCCTTGGACATGCGGTGAAAAAGAGTTTACTTTATGTATGCAATTTCATATAATTATACTTATTCTCCGTACTCTTTTGCATTAGTGACAAGTGTCTATGACACACTCTTTCTGCATGAGTGACAAGTGTCTTGTGGTTCACTTTTCAAAGCAAATATTTTTCTAAATATGGCCAACTTCTTATTCATTTCTCATACACAATTTCAATCTTAAAAGATTTGTAGTGAGAGAAAGCGTTTGTAAGGCGAGGTGGTAAAAGAAGGCTAGCAAGCTCTTATCCGGAGGTAAACAAAGAGGTGTTCGTGATTTAACATTAGCAGAAGCTCACTTTAGTTGGAAGACGCTATCTTTTAAGGTACACCTTTGTTCCTCTCTGCTTTCTTTCTTGTTAATGGCTTCATATTCAAGTTCTTCTAGTATTAGACTGCTAAGGTGGACCTCCTTAGGCGAGCCCGCGGTGGAAGTAGCGGAGGATTGCTGCGTTACCTCCAACATCCCTTATGCCGACGTGTTGTCGGATTTTCATAGCGAGTCTCCATACTCGTATTATGAAGAAGATTGGATCCCCGGTAACTACGACCTTCCTTCGTGAAGACGATTTATTTGTTAGGCACTGTTACCTTGCAAATGGTGTAGTTACAATAATGTCACGGGAGACCGGGGAAGATCGAGGCAACGAAGGCCAACATCACCCGACAGCGTACAACATTACCCATTGATTAGAGGAGGCCTGTCGGCTTATGGATTAAGGGCGGTATTTAGACGCAACTTAGACCACTATTAACAATCAATGGCCGTTAAATAAGGAGTACCTAGCCAATATATGGGGTATGCCCCCGATGAATACGACACTCCGACAACTCCACCTCCTATGTGTACCACCGTGTATTGGGTTTATTAAAGCAAGAAATGCGCTTTCCTCTCCATCCATTTGTGAGGACCTTGCTGTGTGAGTACAACCTAGCCATTTACAACTTAACGCCCAACTCTTGGCTCAAAGTGTACTCTTTTTTAGTCGTGCGCTGCATGCTAGGACAATCTCTGACTCACAAGCTTTGGAGAAACTTGTTCACATTTATCGCCTTTACGGATAATTTTGGACCCGGTTGGTCACGTTCGCATGGGTTTTAGAGTGGTGATGAAGGAACCTTCAAACGTGAAAAACTGGCAGGGTCAATTTATGTATGTTTATTATCGTAATTGGTACATCCCATTGGTTCCGAACTTGGGCGAACCCAACTTGAGTTTGAATTATGACATTCCTCCGCGATGATTGAGGAGGAGGTTGTAGTTTCTCTTTGTCTAGAGACCGAGGGTCGCATGATCAAGGGTGACCTACATGCACTACCCTCGACCTAGATACCCGACCGGGCCTTTCTAGAGGATGAGAGAAAGGGGGGTTTTCCACATATACTATTGTAGTTACCTTTGTTAACTTCTAAATTTCTTTTAACTTGTATACAGTCCCGAAATAAATGGATTCGGAAGCACTAAAGAACCAAAAAGTCATGGCCCTACAAGCCGCTATGGTGAGGAAGAAGCTGAAAGAGGTGACTAAGAAAGTACCTCTCCCGCCTTGGGTAAGTTTTCTCGGTTGATTTTGAATACATCTTGTGTTCTGAATCTCACTACTTGATATTTTGTGCAGAAGACCCAATGACATTAGCTACTTGGTCGTGGTTGATGATCATGGCCAGAGTTCCTCAATGGCTCGTGAAGACAAGGAGCTTCAGCAAACTCAAACTCAGATTTCTCTCACGACGCAATAAGGTTATGACCACTCGGTGCCAATACCATTCCCTAAACGCCCGCAAGTCCTAGGAGAAAGAGGGGCGATGACGGCAGTTGTTCATCTAGCTTGACCTCCTTTTGGGATCTCGATAGTTGGGTTAGAGAGGCGCGTGCCGAATCGACGTTGAGTTACCTTTACTCGAGTGTTGACGCCGACCACTACAAGGTTTTAAATCACGAGAATGAATTTAAAGCCATGCAACAATCGTGGGCGGAGGTTAGTGGCTCTTTTTCTTTTATGCTATCTTCCTTTTGTGTTATGACTGACATGCCCTTGTTATAGTTTTCCGTAGGGCCACCGTATTTGCAAGACATGGGCTTGATGTGCAACATTTGACCCATGAAAGGGATCAGGCCCACCGTAATTGCTTATAGTTATGACTGACATGCCCTTGTTATAGTTTTCGGTAGGGCCACCGTAATTGCTTAGACATCAGATTGTCGACATGGAGTTGAAACTCAAATAGGTAAGGAACCTTCGGGAAAAGGACGCTTCAAAGTTACACCGGCAGAAAAGAAGGCTGCCAAGGAAAAGTTGGAGTAAACTCTTGTAGATTTGGAATCTACGAAGGAAAAGTTGGCCTGAGGGGCAATTTTCCCGGCACTCGGCAAGAGATGGCGAAGGCATGGCTCCAGACGGCAGACGGAAAGGCCCATCATGCTGACGAGAGTGTGGAGGCTAACGAATTGAGACAAGAAATGGGCGTTCGTCGTCTTCAGCCCTTGAAATTGTTCACCCTATGCTTAAGTTTGATCTTATCTTTGAGAAATATGAGAAGATCCGTCAAAGAGAGCTCAACGAGTTGATGCAAAATGTTACGATTGGCGACCCTTTGACGAAATTGGGGCTTGAAGCGGATTCCGATGATTCCTAACCTAATGGGAAGGCCTTTTGAGGTAATATCTTTTTTGAAGAAAAAGCGAACTAAGAATATCTTCCTGTGAAAAAGATTGAAATGGCACCATGAAGACAACCCACCGCTGGAACTTGCTTTGCTCTCGCTCCGCTCGTTCCCACCTGTCTTCTTCCCGCTAGAGTGAAAGAGGTGAAAAAGAAAAAGTTATGTAGTTGGACCATCCGCTCTATCCCCCCCGTCCGACTTGCATGTGTGTGTTAAGAATCTAGCTAGCGTTCCTTCTCCATTCCATTTCCCGGTTGGGAAGAGAAGTCCCGTCTCTTTATTTTTTCGATAGGGAAGGAAGGGTCTCCAGAACTGGGTGGTCATGGCCAAGTGGGCGGTTACCATTACTAAGTGGGCGGTGACTAGTCACTCATTGATGATGGACAAATAGGGCATTAGCTATGAGAAGGATGCCTCGAGCTCGTACCATGCTTAGTTTCCTTGTTTTGTTGCCTTCTTTATGTTCTTGTATCTCTATGTTTTTATGTTGGCTTGTAGATTGTATTTGAAGTGATATCAATAAGAAAAAATATTTGATTTGAAAGTTGTAAAAAATTGTTGAAACATCGAT